CACAGTTGTAAGCTTCAAAATGCAGGACCAAACAATGTCCATTGTGCAGGGAAAACACAGGTGCCTACGGTGGTGGGACGGGAAAGACCCAGTGAATGAAATGAAACATGAAGAATACCCAGCTTGTTTTGTGGGGGAGAGAGGCAGATGGCTCATACTTCACATAGGGAAACATTAGCAGATATCCACTAGAATGAAAACATGGAAGAGAAAGGCATTGCTGCAAGTGAAGGTCCCCCGTTTGAACAAATGCCAGCCAGAGGCCTTTTCCTTGCAAAGCACTCTTTATTGCTTCTGAATACGAATTTTCCAGAATGGATCTCCAAACATGCATAAAGCAGTTTGTTGAACCAAATGTAGTGATTACCTCCTGAAACTCTCCTTTTGAACGCGTTTGTGCCCGAACCTCTCAGGAAGGGACCCTGCAGGCAGGCATGCCTCCTCCCGGTTCATCCAATTGAGCCTCTCCCCTCTGCTGAGATCTTGTCATGGGGTCCAGCTCAGAAGGGAGGAGCTGGTCTACATCCCCAGCAACCCCTTCCCCTGGCTGCATACCCAGGTCATTCCCAAGAATACTTTGGAACAGCAAAGCAGCTGGTCTTGAGACAATCATTCCTTCCTCCTGCTCCTATCGCATCCCAGGACCTCGAGCTGATGCAGACTCCCCAATTTCATGGAAAAAACCTTCATCTTCTGAATCTGAATCGACACCTGTGGTGTGGCTGGCATCCCATGGGAATGTTTGCCTCAGCCCACCATCCTTGCTCTCAACAGGCATGCAAGTGAAATAATTAAAGTCATTTGGCAAATGAATCAATTTTACACAAGAATAAAAATAGGAAAGTTATTTCTGTTAAGAAAGTGAAGCCTTGTGTGAATAGCACAGACATGAAGGTTTGTAAAATGAAAAATTTAAATAAATGAAGTAAGAGTAAGCTTTGTTAAAAGCAGGCGATGAAGGTATGTTAATTTTACTGGAGATCCATTTCAAGCTTTGGTTGGTAGGTGGAAAAGTTCTGGAATTCTAGTATTGAGAACAGCACTTTAACAACCAAAATATTTATCAATGGTCAAGTAACTTCTAACATATTGTAAAAGTGTTGATTGTTGCAGGCTTGAGTTATTTTTTATAGTGGCACAGTGGGTTAAACTGCTGAGCTGCTGGGCTGGTTGACTGAAAAGTCGACAGTTTGAATCTGCACAACGGGGTGAGTTCCCATTGCTCTGTCCCAGCTCCTGCCAACCTTGCAGTTCAAAAGCATGCAAATGCAAGTAGATAAAAAGGTACCACTTCGGTGGGCAGGTTCCATGCACTTCGGTGTTTAGTCATGCCTGCCACATGACCACGGAGACTGTCTGTGGACAAACACTGGCTTCCTTGGCTAGAAAACGGAGATGAGCACTGCCCCCTAGAGTCAGACATGACTGGATTTAATGTCATGGGGAAACTTTTCCCTTTCCCTTTTACAGTTGAAATGGCATGGAGGAAAATCTCCTTTTTTGGATTAATGATTTGCACACGATTAGCAGGTGAATGTGCATGTCTTTGCCAAGTTACCAATTTATGCATGATTGAATTTCTTTCTAAAAACTGAGACTATTTGCAAAAGTACTTGCTTTTTTGTTATAACACTCTATTACAATTGATGTTGGTGCCAAAGATTTAGTTCTTCATATGTTGAGCTCTTAAGATGTTGAAGCAAAAGAATAGCAATTTGTTCTGGAGATAGAGGCATCAACAGATTTTGGTGCCAAAAGCTGGAACTGAAGAACTGGGTCTTCTGTGACCAATTTAGTGAGTGACTATAGCTAGCAAGATTTTCTAGCTAGCATTTATAGGTGAATGGAGAGATTTCTCCATAAGCCACTGCAGTCTTCTTGAATCTCAGTTACATTTGCTTAACTAAATAATATTTTGCCACCTAGCAAATATAATTCAGTTCAGGTATTCTACTTGTAGAGTACGCTGATTAAAAGTAATGGTAAGTCAAAGACTTAATATAATGCAGCTGTTGGAGCATGTAATTTGTGACCTTATGAGGAATGGAATACACCCAAGGCTGCAGTTACAGGAGGGGAGTCTAACCAAATTAACTGGGACTTGCTTTTTTGTAAGCAGTCTTACAGCTACCCTGCACAGAACACTGATCTTTTGAAAAGGTATTGCTCTACTTAATTTGGAGAGATTGCAGATATTGAGTATAGTGTTAGGCATACCTCTGTGTCCTGTTCTCTTAATGCATTGCTGTCCTGTAGTGAATAAGTGTGATACAGGCATTCTTAGGCTGCAGTCCAGGGAATGCTTCCTTGAGAAATAGTTCCCACAGAACTCATTGGAATTTACTTCTGAATAAACATGGGGTTGCTGCTCTCAAAGCAGATTCTATATTTCTTAGAGGACTGTTAGTTTGGGAGGCAAATAATATGGCCCAGCAGTTGCTTTTGCTCCATCTCTGGAAAATAACATTAGGTGATGATGTAGAATCATCTGGCTTCATGGTAAAGTGGGGCCTGATATTAGGCAGGGTATTCCAGCTGAGATTTGCCCAGAGCCAATGGTGTCCTTTCAGCACCAGGTTAAGGCTGCCTTCTACTGCCAGGGATTTAATGGCGTATAAGAAGACATTGAGGTCAGCTGGTTTTAACAGGCTTAGCATTTTATGGAAAGGATGTTTAGCTTTCGCCTTTTTTTAAATTGCCTATATTGAAATTTTGAGCTATATTTTGCCCATAGTCTGTTTCTGTGAATTGTTCTCAACCAGCCAGGCAGCTTTGCCTCTTGGGCAGTATGGAAATGGAATCAATAAATAAAATTGTATCTCTACCTATTAAACAGAAATAAGTTCCAGCAGCAACTAGGAAATGGCATTTCTACTTGTAGTGGGCAAAAGTAGATGTTTTGAAATTCTTGACCATTTAACCATGCAGGACTTTCAGGAACTGAAGTGCAAAACGTTTGGATATCATCCTTCTGTTTAACCCTGAAGATGAAATAAATGCATTAGGATATCTGTTTTTTTGTTAAGATTTGGTGCTGTGAACTAGACAAAGACATATAATATCATAGTACCATGCTTCTTTAATAAAGATCTGTGTAGAGAAATGGTGCAGCCACTAATTTCTAATCGAGGGTTGCTAGCTTGTACGATGATCCTGGAGAATGGGCTCCATGTGAGTGCTGCTGGTCTGGATGCTGCTGTCACTCACACACCCCCATGATAGGACCTCAAGACTCACAATTGGTAAGCTGAGCCAAATTTTCTACTTGCCCCTGCAAGAGGGCAACTAGCAGGGCCCATGGGGCATCAAGGGGGGAAGTCAGAAGTCCAAAGAGGCTTGCAGTGGGGCTTTGTGGGCATTCCTAAAGCTCTGCCCAGACCAGATGTGTTCACATGCAATGTGGAGACATGCCTCATCCCTCCATAATCTTGCCCTGCCCCAAGACAAGCCTGGCATGGGGAAATCGCCTCCTTGTCATGCTAGAAGGTGACAGAGGAAGTGTCAGAACTGTGGCAAGCATGGTAGCATGAGTGGCTTGACCTTCCTCTGTGTACATATCTTATACCGACTGGTAAATGGGCATTCTGCACCCACATCCCAAACTTGCTTATCTTGGATGGGACCCAGAAGTGCAGTGAGAAAAGGGGGAATTGCTTATGTGTTCTTTGTCACCCATTGATTGGAATATTCCTAGCAGCTCAAAGTAACAGAACTTGTGATACTGGCTTGCTATGGACAGAAAAGTGTAATACCTGATAAAACAATGGCTAGCCCTACTGTGCTAGGGGCTACTCCATAGCCCTACCAACAGTGATAAGACAGTTGCCAAGCAGTGAGTGATGTGCCCCACGCCATCCTACGTGCTCAGCCAGCCAACATGAAAGCCATCATTTTCACCTTTCCGTTTCACTGACACAACTTAGAAGCTGACACAGTTCAGTTCGGAGAGAGCTGAGATGTGGATGCCGCTATTCCCTCCCACCTAATTCAAAACTGTGCTTTAATGAGGGAACATAAAGAATCTGTCAGCTGTTGCTGGCTTGCACCAGTCAGCTCTGACAAGGGATGCTTTGGCTAATTTGGTCAAGCATTGAAATGATTATACCTTGACCATTACAAAGAAGATTTAATTACTTTGCTATGTTGTCACTTGGTTCCTATTCATAGAAGTGTATTACATTACATAAATATATATTTAAACAGGTTGAATTAACAGTGTTAAAGCATAAATACATGAAACTGAGCATGACCTACACATATATTCATAGTATAACCTTATAGCCCCAGGACAGCATATAGGAGGCCACAGGGCTCTTGGCTGCCAAGTCAGAAAAACACTGCAATCCTGTAGCCAGGGGTCAGCACTTTGAACCACGTCTCCTGCACTTTGCATTTGGTGCAGAAACAACCCTGTGGGCTGCTTCTCTAGGGCTGCAGCAGCAGCCCTGGAGAAAGGGCTTAGGGGGTAGTCTGGGGAGACCGTGCAGGTATGGGGTACCCTGCCAGTGATTCAGCCTCCTTCCATCCCCTCTGAAGCACTCAGTTTGGACAGCTGAAATGGACTAAGTGCTTCGCAGGGTAAGAGGAGCATGCAGGCAACATCTGCAACGGCGCTCCTCTTGTCCTCCACAGGATGCCCGAAATCTTCCAAGTTTAGAAGGTTGCGCCTAAAATTTACCATGTTAGAGTTGCAACAGAACTTTCTTCAAAGAAAAAAAATGGAGGTTCCTGTCTGGCAGAAGCTTCTGGGATTTTTTAACGAGTCCAAAAAGGGGTTGGTAAGACCAACAGACTTTTTCAAACTGATCCACACATCCTCCTCTGGGATTTATAGAAGGCATGAGTGCAGGTTATTTCTCAAGCGGTGCCCCCCTGAAATCAGGAGAAAGGAGACTAGTTCTAGTATCACTAGGATGAACTCTTTTCCCATGCGTTAATGACCAAGGAAACTGGATTAGGCATTCAACAGCTAAATGTTCACTTTGTTTCTAATTCCACAGGGGCTGGAGGCTGGTGTCCATCAAGCAGCGATCACTACCAATGGCTGCAAGTAGATTTCGGCAACAGAAAACAAATCAGTTCTATTGCCACCCAAGGCAGATACAGCAGCTCTGACTGGGTAACCCAGTACCGGATGCTTTACAGTGATACCGGGAGAAACTGGAAACCGTACCACCAAGATGGAAATGTTTGGGTAAGTGACAGTGACAAATGGCACCATGTGGACTTCTTTCAAGGTTGACCAGTAGAATTTATTCTTAGGTAGCCACACAATGATATGGGTGACTGTGTTCCTGCTTTGCAGATGGAATGAGTGCATTTGTTTTATGAATGTTCTTTGATGGCATAATTCTCCAGCTGTGTTTTGTTCCCTGTGGCAATGGATCAAGTCATCAAGACTGGATGGAGATTTAGAAAGAATGCATTCAAGTGTAGGAAAAGCTTTTACTTCAGAAAGATGGTGATTTAAGGGGAGATATGACAGAATTTTGTAGAAGTTTGCATAACACAGGGAAAATGGATACAAATAATTTTTCCCTTATGACACATGAACCTGAGCTCATCTAATGAAAACGGTTGGCAGGAAATGTTCAAGGGTCTGGAGCACCTTCGCTGTGAGGACAAGCAAGGGTACTTGAGGTTTAAAACTGCGGAATATGGACATTTGAGGGAAAGCATGATAATGCATGCGGTAAGACTTCCACAACCTTGTGCCTTCCAGACACATTCGTACTGCAACATCCAGAATACCCCAGGCAATGGACCTGTTGGATTAGAATTCTTGGAGTTGCGGTCCAAATGCCTCTGAAGGCCACCAGGTTGGGGAAGGCTGCTGTAGAACAAGTAGGCAGACGCTGACTTGATGATGGAATTGGTCACCAGGAGATTTTCATGGTATGGAATTGGTCACCAGGAGATTCAGAGCAGGCAAGGGAAAGTAATCAGTGGAATTCTCCCCCACCAGTTGTGCTGATGGTGACTAGATGGCTTCAAATGGGAATTAAACCCATGCATGGAAGAAAAGGCTATTGATAACTGCTGGTCATTTGGAACCTTGAGGCTCAGATGAACAATACAGCTACAGTTCCTGGGCAACAACAGTAAGGTGGGGCAATTGTCCTGTCCAAGCTCTGGATTTTCTAGAGTTAGCTGGTTGGACACAATAGGAAACTGATTGCTGGACTAAATGGGCCTTTGGTCTGATTAAGCAAGGCTTTTCCTATGCTCAGAAAATGAATGAAGCATTAAAAAGCTCAAGAATCTTAACTCACTACTAGCTAACTAACTAAGAGAAAGAAAGAGAGGGAGAGGGAGAGGGAGAGAGAACCTGTTAGTTCCTATAGAACTATGCAGATAAAATTGCAAGTTTAGTGTAATGTTTACTATAATCTCCACTGCCAATGTTGTAGGGTCAATTTGATTTCCCAGCGGTAAGGGCTGAGTATTTGGTGCCCTGAATAACTTCTTGACTCTCTCCTTGACTGGCTGAAGTAGAATAAGTTAAGCAAAATTAGTTAACATAGGCAGATGTGCTTAATCCACCTAACTAATGCAGATAGTGTCATCCAGCTTTTGTTGGCACCCAGCTTTTCGAGATTGTTATTTTAAAGCATGTAGTACACACTCAGCCACATATTAAATTTTATAGGGTTTTCTGCTCCCTCTTCACAACCCTAAGAGCAGTGATTCCTTGGCAATAGCATAGCTCAACTAAACTGAGAAAGTAGGAGAACAAGAATTTCAAAGTGCAGAGTTCAGCAGTATTCTTACTGAAGTAGTTTAATATCAAATGACACAGCCAGGGGACAAAATCTGGGAAATGACAAAATCTGCAGTTTTGGAGCATGCAATGGGGGTGAGCAGTGGGGAAAGCGAGAGTATTCCGCAGAAGTAATTTTTAACAAAGATATCAAGGAGAACAAACTGTGACAATCTGCATAAAATGTTGAAATGACCCTCTTCTATATGCATTAGAGAAAGAAGTTCTATAATTACCTGCTAGGTAAGAAAGAAATCAAACATCACACGGTGAGATGAGGATGGGAAGAGTTCTTTCAAGGTGAATTTAGAGAAAGCTTTCAGTTTCTGTAAAGTAGGCTTTCTGTCTTTACCCTCTTGTGCTTTGGGATATGTTCAGTTTTCTTTGATTTTTCATGCCATGAGTGAGGCTCTTCTTTCTTGTATGGAATCAGTTTCTTCTAGTAACTTCATGTTAACCCTAACCCGGCTTTTTCAAAAGTTCACAGAATTACAGATTGGCAAACCTTTTGGGGAGCATCTTGAGAGCAGGATGTAAAATGCAGCAGTCCTGCAGTACAGGTGTGCCCAGCCCAAAGGAGGGGTGCTTGAATAGTCTTTATCCATCCCTATTTCCCAGGGTTTGTCCTTATTTTGTAATATTGCCCTTGTTAAGTGATTGTCCCTTTTTAACTCCCCAACCCAAGCCTTGGTGGTATAACTCTTAATATAGAAAGAGAAGGAAAACTGCCATCCAAGGAAGCAGATGTTGATTATTTTGGTGGATGCTCATCAGCTCCTGAACTTGAAGGCTTACAAGCATGTGTGCAGAATGAAAGGAGCAGTGGAGGAAATTTTCATCTCTGCACCTCCCACTCTGTATTGCAGCTGGATGACTATTTGCATACATCTGGCTGAGGTGGTTCAGGGAGACAGAGAGGTGGCTGTGACCTCATCAGGAGAACTTAAATCCTGGGGGCTGCAGGCTTCTCCCTTACCTGTCTTGAAGAACACTCTATTTATCCCCTTTCTGGGGCCAGTTTCCAGTTCTTTCTGCCCTGGCTGCAGTGCTGGTGGGGATCGCAGTGCAGACTCAACCTCTCAGGCCTGAGCTGATGACTTGTTCTTATGGGGAGGTTGCAGGCCAAATGCTGCTTGTCTCCCCCAGATACTTGTCTCCCCCAACATGGTGCAGTCCAAGTGTGTTGGACAGCAATGGTCCTCACCTTCCAGCCAGCATCACCATTGTACTTTAACACATCAGCAGAACATCAGATCGGAAAAGACGGACTTATTCTAAAGCAGGGTGCTTTAATGGTATTAGCAACCCTCCACTGGAAGGCTAAATTGGCATTAATGGATGAATATCTGCTTTCATTTAACTGTGTTCATTTCCATGGATCTCTAGGTAATCTGAACAAGAAGATGGCTCAACACAAATTACACCTTCCCCATCAGTGTGATAATGCATCTTGACCTTGGCAGCTCTTCATGCTTCCATAAAATAAGAAATAAGACAGCTAGGAAGAAGTAAGCATGACCAGTACTACTATTAGCAAATCAAAACAAAGGTACAAGCAAAGGAGATCTAAATAACTAGGCAACAGAGGTTGTTTAAAATGCACTGCCTTGAAAAAGTAATTGAATTCTATCAGTAGCCGTGAAGAACAGGGACTGGCAAACCTTTGGGATCTGAGGGCACAGATAGCCATTTGAGGTGCTGTCCTGAGCACCAACACAAAATGGCTACAATGGGAGGCATGGCTATTCACAAGGTGTAGTCTGCATGTTGCTCAGGGGCTGGAAAGGAAATGGGTTAATTTAGAGGAGTGGGGGGAAAGTGTGGTGGGACACCTTGGTGAGCACCAAGAAAAGTGTCCATGGGGCCTCTGCTTACCATTGACAGAGGACTGTGAGTTGCCCAGAGCTGTTCATGCGGAATAATCACACATGGCCTAAAACCAGGAAGGACAACATGTCAATCCAGTCTTTCCCTCTCAGTACCTTTGACTGGGGCCACTGTTCTTCCTTCCTGGGCATGAGAAATAGGCAAAGGCAGTCAGGCCGTTACTGGTATGAAGTGTATTTGAAATATGACACTGACTTCAAAGGTCCTAGTGTGTGTGAGTGTGTGGCAGAAGATCCTAAAGACTAAAATGGCACTTAATACTTTGTCCTCGATCTAAATCTGATGGGGCACAGGAGCCAAGCTGAGTTTTATTTGTGTCCTCTAATTCTATGTCCAAGGCACTCATCGGACTGTACATACATTTGTATGTCTTTTATCCACAAAAAGGGTGGTGAACCTTGCAGGTGGCAAGTGCCTGCGCATGCCCGGGCATCGTGGAACGCAGAATGTCTGGAAACTCAGCGTGGAAGTCACAGGCTCCTTCCCATGTCTCCAGGCAGGATTGTACTATGAATTAGCTCACCAAGAAATTGGTCTGTTCTACTCAGTTTGCAATTTGTGCTGAACTCCCCATGCGCTTTGTAACAATGAGGAATATCTTGGGGGCAGCTGGGGAGGAGAATCAGTCACTATCATGCATCAATAATGTTTTACATTTACATGTGACCAGAGTTTGATCTGTAAGCAGGCATGCTTCCAGAACTGGGAACTGCCCTTCCAATCACAGTGGAAGTATTGACTTCATTGACCAGCGTAGTCCTTGGAGTGAGGGAAGTTGTGTCTTTCTTACACAATGGCATTCTAGTAGAGGCTGGATCTCTAGTGTATGATAAATCCCAGCTGCAAACCTTTGCTTCAGTTAAGTCTGTTAAAATAAGATTGCAGATCCAATTATCTGAGCCCAGCTTGTATCAAGAACTATATCCTCCAATAATTAGTGTTGATACCAACCTGATCACTTAGGTAATCATCTGAGGTGCTTCTCCATATTCCTCCCCACAGTGAAGTAAAAGGGAAGATGACAAGAAGGACCTTCTCCATAGCAGCACCCCAATTATAGAACTCACTTCTGTCGGAGGTCCAGTTGGCATCAACTCTTTATTCCTTCAGATGCCAGTTAAAAACCTTCCACTTTTGCAAATACTTTAGTGGGTGAGCTGCTTGGTTTGATGGTGGTTAATGGTTTTATGTTGTCAGTTTTGCTGCTGCCACATTATAATTTTAGCACCAGATATTTTATCTGATTTTATTTATTTATTTATTTATTAAAACATTTCTATGCCGCCCCTTGCCGAAGCCTCGGGGCAGCTTACGACACAATAAAATACAATAAAATACAAAAATAACAATATAAAATTAAAATTAACAATATAAAATAAATAAAATATAAAATTTAATTATGTAAAATTTTCATTTGCCTTTCTTAGGGTCATTTTAAATACTTAGTATAATGACTGCTTAATCCCATGTCCCATTTTATTTTATTTTATTTTACTTTGGTTTATCTTATTTTATTTTACCTTATTGTTTATTTTATTTTTATGTAT